AGTTAATCAGGAAATTATTGGAAGTGCTCCCCATAGTCAAGTTTCTCTTGACAGTTCCCTCCCTCCTTCATTGAATTTTTGCTCTCTGCACTCAACCCTCCCTATTCTCCTGTGACTCTTCACACTAGTTACCCGATGTTACCATTATTCATGCTTTTTGTGTTATTCCTTATAGGCCTATGCTGTCCAAAGCAACAGGTATTAATCTGCATTGGATTGTTAAAAATAAAAATTCATTTGCCATATTTGGGTAGCACAGACATATTTCCATCTTTGCAGAAAGTTCTCTTGGACAGCACTTTTTCAGAATTGTAAACTCATAAGAGGGACTATCACTTCCTTTTTTTCCCCCCTCTTTATTTGTGGCCTTTGAACAATGCTTTTCTTTTCTTGAATTGAATGAAGAATATGAAATTAGATTCTAGTACAGAACAGAAAACTTAAGTTTGGGAAGTATTTACTTCTTGGGAGATGATAATTGTATCAGGGAAGTCCATGATTTACTTGAGGGTCTCTGCAGTTCTGATGCTGCAGTTCTCCCAAGAATGGGTTCAAGTGCAGAGGAGTAGAGGGTTGGCAGTAGGCAATTTGTGGGCTCCTACACTGTGGAAGGACACAAAATTGATGCATCTACTTACTTGCTACACTTTCCTATCATTGTTTTCACTCTTGCCATATGCCTGCACTGTCCATGACTGTACATAATCCTGGCCATATGTGACTGAATTGAGGTTAAAGAATCTGGCCACATATTTCAGGTGTTCATGTTCACTTTCAGCAAGTAGCTCTGATATTGTACAGCATGGATAAAGTAGAACCTCATCATTGGAAGGTTCTGATTGAGATTTGCCACTAAACTGTAGTTGTGGATGCCATTGCAAATTTGGACTTTGTTTAGAAGCCTAAAAGAATTGGGCAGTGCTTCAGACAGTCAGTGTCCTAATCACTGATGTTGCTGGTTTGTTTGTTTATTGTACTAGGGAGTGAACCCAGAGCTTTTTCACTGAACTATATCACCAGTCCTTTTTATTTTTTATTTTTGAGACAGGGTCTTGCTAAGTTGCCCAGGCTGGGGTTGAACTTGAGATCCTCTAGCTTCACGTTCGCTGGATGAACTTTATTGCAGAGGCTAAGGATGTAAGTTAGTATATTCTGGTTATAAATGTTCTAAGTCAGGTGAGCTGAAATTTTGAAGGTTTTTTTTTTTTTAATTTTGTTTTTATAATGCAGTTTGCTATCCGTCAGTGTCTGAGATGCATGTGTGCTTCCATTTTGTACCAGGCGGTGTTATTTACCCTGGAGATACCACAGACAACATGACCAAGGGCGTGTGCTCTGCTTGCATGGGGCTGCATTTTCACTGGGTATGGGTATGGAGAAGGCAGACACTAAACAAGTAAATGGATGCACATTTTATGGGTATTTTTAATTTTAAAGTTTGTTTTGTTTGTTTTAGAGCAGACTTAGGTTCATAGCAAAATACCTTTAGGGCCCTATGCAATTTTTGTTTTTTGAGATATAGTCTCACTATGTAGTGCAGGCTGGGCTTGAACTTGCTTATGTAGTCCAGGCTGGCCTCAAACCCATGACGATCCTCCTGCCTCAGTCTCCTTAGTGCTAGGATTACAGATGTGCACCACCTTGCCTGTTTCCTGTGGAGTTTTTATTTTAAAGATCAGTTTAATTTTTTTTAAAGTAACATTTATTAAGACATGTAATAAGTTACTAACCCCCCCAAAATACTCCCCACTTTGAACACATTATTTCCATAGTTCTTTTCGCTTTTTGAAGCAATTCTGGAGATTCCCTTTTCATGAGTTTTTTTTCCCCCCCCACTCATTTTTTAAATTGGTTATACAGATTAGTGAGTTTTATTTTGTTAGATTCATATGTACACATAACATAGTTTTATTTTTTTCACCCACCCACCCCTTGCCACTTCTCTGACTCTTGGGCTGATAATTTCACATTTTGAGGGCAGTTCAATGTGTATATTTTGCTCGTATCCACCCCCCTGCAACACTACCTGCCTTCATACCTCTCCCCCTATTATTCTTTTCTTCTTGTCTAATATAGTTTTTCCTCTACTTACTCTCTTTTTTAGATTCCACCTATTAGGGAGAATATGTGATATTTGTCTTTCTGAGTCTGGCTTATTTTGTGCAGCATGATGGTTTCCATATCCATCTATTTTCTTGCAAATGGCAGACTGTTCTTCCTTGTGGCTGAGTAGATCAATAGTAGTAGGTAGATACTTCCTTCTGGCTGAGTGATAGATAGGAACTGAGGGAGGAAAGAAGAAAGGAAGTAAGGAAGAAAGCAAGGAAGCAAGCATTCTGTCTGTCTACCTGTGTCACATTTTCTTTTCCATCCTGCTGTCTAGGTTGGATCTGTACCTTGGTTAACTGTGCCACAATGAACATGGGTATGGTGATACCCATAAATGCGGTGACTTTACTTGCTTCCCCTGTGTACCAAGGCATTGTACAGGTGGATCAAATCAAATGGTACTAGCCCCTTTTTTCCCCCCTCAGTTTTTTGAGGAACTTCATGGAAGTGCACTTCCACTTCGACTCATTTACATTCCTATCAGCAGTGTAGAGAAGGGTTCCTTTTTCTCCTGCACCCCCACTGGTGTTGTTTTATATATATATTTTTTATTTTAAAGAGAATTGAAAACAAAAAAAGATAGCAAAATGCCAACAGCATAGGCAAAAACAATAAGAATGATGCAGGGTTTCAGAACAAAATGATAAGGATTAACAGCAACAGTATGCAACCTAACAACCATGGTTGAATTCCTATCATCTTGTTTGTTGAAACTATCGTTTATAATTTTTTTGTTTTTATTTTTTATTCTCTTTAATGGTTTGATTAATCTTGCATTCTTAGATCTGGTAATCTGACCAACTTCGATGAAGATAAAAATATGTTTTGTACTCGTGATGACAGCCATTCTGACGGGGCAGATTAGAATGTTACTGAAATTTTGATTTGCATTTTCCTAGTGACTAAAGATGTTGACATTTTTTCTTATTCTTTTTTTTTTTTTTGGTTTTTCTCTGGTACCGGGAACTGAACTCACGACCTTCCGCTTGCCAGGCAGGCGCTTTTGCCGCTGAGCTAAATCCCCAGCCCCATTTTTTCTTATTCTTACTGGACATTTGCACTTCTTTTGAGAAGTATCTGCTCATTTGCCCATTTGTTGGTTGACCCTTTGATTTTTGACATTAAGTTTTTTGAGTTCTTTCTGTAATCCAGATATTAATCCTCTTTTAAAGAGTAGCTGATAAAGCTTTTCTCACATTCTGTAGGGTGTCTCTTCAACCTTTTGTTTCCCTTGCTCTGCAGAAACTTTTCAATTTGTTGTAGTCTTATTTCTTATTTCTTGCTATTATTTCCTGTGGTATTACTGGAATCCTATTCAGGAAAGAAAGTCTTTGCTTGTACCAGTGACTTTGACTATTTCCTATGTTTTCTTGTAGAAGTTTCAAGTTTCATTTTGCATTGGTTTTTGTATAGGGTGAGAGATTGGGATCTAGTTTTCTGGAAAATGGCATCTAGTTTTCTCAGCACCATTTATTAAATAGGTTTTCTTTTCTCCAGTGTATATTTTTGACTCTTTTGTTCAGAATTGGATGACTGTAGTTGAGGGGGTTTGTTTCTATGTCCTTTATTCTATTCCATTGGTCTATGTGTCTATTTTTGTGCCTGTATCATACTGTTTTATTACTGTGACTGTGTAGTATAATTTGAAATTGAGTATTATGATGCCTCTAGCCTTGTTCTTTCAGCTTAGAATTGCTGTAGGCATTCTGTGCTTTCACAAAAATTTTAGGATTCTTTTTCTAATTCTGTGAAGACTGTCATTGGTTTTTTGATTGGGTTGCATTGAATCTGTACATTGCTTTTGGCATGGCGGTTTTGAGAATATTAATTCTGTCAGTACATGAGCATTGGTAATCTTTTAATTTCTTCACTGCTCAGAAAGCTTCATTGTATAGGTATATTCATCAAACTTTCTCTTAACTGAGCCGTTGTGTTTGTTACTTTTCTCTCATTGCTGAGACAAAATACCTGACACACAAAGTTAGAGGGAGAAAGGTTTTTTTAACTCACAGTTTCATTCCATAGTTGGCTGGCTCCAAGGCAGGGAGACTTGGCAGAGGAGCATTGCAAAGGACAACCCATTCATGGCAAGCAGAAAACAACAAAGCAAAAGAAAGTAAGGGAGGATCACAGCTCTTTCTGTCCCTCGTATCTTATCCAGGCTATAAGGTGGGTGGCACTCACACCCTTAATTCTAGCGCCTTTGATCCTAGCACTCACCAGAAATCAATCCCAGCATTGTACACTTTAGATCCAGCCATCTCTGAAAAAGCCCTACCTGTGATTGCATGAGGCTTTGGGAGGACATCTAGACAAGCCATAACAGACCTTAACACCTGCAGTTTAAGGGAGAAGATGTTTATTTTGCCTCATAGTCTCAGTGGGTTCAGTCCATGGTATGTGGGGTTCAGGCAGAAAAGTCATGGAAGATTTTAATCTTTATTATTTTTTTATTTTTATTTTATTTTTATTTTTTTGGTTTTTTCTCCGGTACCGGGAACCGAACTCACGACCTTGTGCTTGCCAGGCAGGTGCTTTGCCGCTGAGCTAAATCCCCAGCCCCCGATTTTAATCTTTATAATCAAAGTCTTAACTATTATTAGAAGGGTGTTTAGGGTATTTGTAGAACCCCCTGCCCCATTATAATAGCGATGACTAACAAATACTTTGTTCCCTTTTACCTTTGAAAGACAGCAGAGAGTTGTAAAAAAATTACAAGCTGCTGGTTTTGGCAGCACTTTAGGACATTGGTTTTCATTTTCTATTCTCTGTTGAAAAATGTTGTTCTGTACTAGTCTAGAGAAAGACCCTTGCTACATACTTTTTTGGGACTGATGCCAGACAAAAATCGAACAATAGTGCCTTGCTAAATCACTTTTTTTTCCTTTTAGGTCTTGAAATCATGAATCCTGTCTATAGCCCTGGGTCTTCTGGGGTTCCCTATGCAAATGCCAAAGGAATTGGTTATCCAGGTAAGCAAGTAGAAGTTTGTTCTGATTATTGAACTTTGAACACTTGATCTGTTTCCATGTCAATCAAAGCAGTTTCCAAACGTACATGTGCAAGCACCGCATTGTGTCACTAGTGTAAAACTTGAAAGAGTTAATTTAAACTCGGAGGTATGATAGACACTGTGAAATGATAGGAAAC